AAACTGACCATGAGTCTCTCAAGCACCTAAAAGGACAACAAAAGCTGAGCAAACGACATGCCCGATGGGTAGCCTTCATTGAGTCTTTTCCATACGTCATCAAATACAAAACAGGTAAATCTAATGTCGTAGCTGACGCTTTATCTCGTAGACACATTTTGCTCACTGCTTTAGATGCTAAACTCCTAGGCTTTGAACTCATGAAGGAGTTGTATAAGAATGACTTGGATTTTGCGAACGCTTATGCGAATTGGGGAAAATCTGACTTTGAAAAATTCTTCGTACATGATGGGTTCTTATTTTATCTTACCAAGTTGTGCATTCCTCGAGGGTCCATACGTAACTTACTTATTCAGGAGTCACATAGTGGTGGACTAATGGGACACTTTGGTGTCACCAAGACATTAGCTGTATTACAGGAACACTTCCATTGGCCTCGCATGCGCAAGGACGTGGAGAGGATTGTTGAAAGATGTGGCGTGTGCCACAAAGCTAAGTCTCGGGTCAACCCAAACGGTTTGTATACTCCTTTACCCATACCTCACCAACCTTGGGTTGACATTTCCATGGATTTCGTGCTTGGGTTACCTCGTTCAAAGCGTGGCCATGACTCTATATTTGTTGTGGTAGATAGGTTCTCCAAAATGGCTCACTTTATTGCATGTCATAAGACGGATGATGCTTTACACATTGCTGATTTATTCTTTAAAGAGGTTGTTCGTTTGCATGGCATACCTAGGACTATAGTATCTGATAGAGATGTCAAGTTTTTGAGCTATTTTTGGAAATCTTTATGGGGTCGGTTGGGAACCAAACTGTTGTTCTCTACCTCTAGTCATCCTCAAACGGACGGACAAACTGAGGTAGTCAATAGGACTTTATCCACACTCCTACGTGCAATCATAAAGAAAAATATCAAGTCATGGGAGGAGTGTCTACCTCATGTTGAGTTTGCATACAATAGGGCTGTGCATAGTGCTACACAATTCTCGCCTTTTGAAGTTGTGTATGGTTTGAACCCCTTAACTCCCTTAGATTTGTTGCCATTACCTTCTTCTGAGCATATGAACTTAGATGGCAAGAAGAAAACTGAGTTCGTGAGATCATTACATGACAAGGTTCGTACCAATATCGAGAGGAGGACGGCCCAATATGTCCAACAAGCTAATAAGCACAGGCGCAAGCTTGTCTTTGAACCAGGTGATTGGGTCTGGTTACATTTGCGCAAGGAGAGATTTCCAAACCAACGGAAAAGCAAGCTGTCACCAAGAGGAGATGGGCCTTTTCAAGTCATTGAGCGCATCAACGACAATGCATACCTCTTAGATCTGCCTGGTGAGTACAATGTTAGTGATACATTCAATGTTGCTGATCTAAATCCATTTATTGCAGGGGACGAGTACGATTTGAGGGCAAATCCTTTTCAAGAAGAGGGGAATGATGCGATTGAGCACGAGACCCAAAGTGTACAAGTAGACCCTGTGAAGGTGCCCCTAGGCCCGGTGACACGAGCACGAGCTAAGTCCCTCCAAGCCTTGGTACGTGCCATCCAAATTCAAGAGAAACCGGCCATTGAAGGGATTGAGTTGGAATATCCTTGCACGACTACTAAAATGCTGCTTACAATTGAAAATGCAAGTGTTCAAACTCCAGATAGCGGGCTAAGCTGCAGTTAAGTACCCTCGCTGAGCCGTTAAATCTACCGTTAAATCTGTTCTTGAGTGGTCCAAGTTCAGGTTCAACTCCATCCAATCTTCATCGTGTTCCTCTAGATCCGAAGTTGCTTCCGCGTCTCGCATCACCAGATTATGATTCTTTGCGTATTTTTGGTTCTACTGCATATTATCATGTAAATGAATCAAAATTGGATCCACGTGCAAAGAAGGCTTTCTTTATGGGCTTTAGTGCTGGAGTTAAGGGATATCGGTTGTGGTGTCTAGAAACAAAGAAAATCATTATCAGCAGGGATGTTACCTTTGATGAATCTGCCATGTTGAATAAGGTAACACAAGATGGAACCAGTGGTACTTCTCAACAGGTGGAGTGTACGCCGAAACAGGTGGAGTTTGAGCAAATAGTGGTGAGTCCAGCAAACAGCACCATTAGTGACTCTCCTATGGCAGAAGAGGAGTCAGATGAGGAAGAGGTTTCAACCCAAGAACCTCAACAGCAGCAAGAGTCAATTGCCGTCAATAGGGCAAGACGAGAAATTCATAAACCTGCTCGTTTTGTTGACATGGTGGCTTATGCACTTCCAGTGATTGATGATGTTCCATCCACATTTTCTGAAGCAGTTCAAAGTACAGAAAATGATAGATGGAAAGATGCTATGGAAGAAGAGATGCAATCTCTTCAGAAGAACAAGACGTGGAAGTTGACACAACTACCGAAGGGCAAGAAGGCAATTAGATGCAAATGGATATTTACAAAGAAAGAAAGATTTCCTGACAAGATTGATGTTCGCTACAAGGCAAGATTGGTGGCTAAAGGCTACGCTCAGAAGGAGGGAGTTGATTATAATGAGGTATTTTCTCCAGTTGTTAAACATTCCTCTATTAGAATTTTGTTGGCCTTGGTAGCGCAGTTAAATTTGGAGCTAGTTCAACTTGATGTGAAGACTGCGTTCCTTCACGGTGACTTGAAGGAGGAAATCTATATGTCTCACCCAGATGGATTTAAAGTTGCTGATAAAGAAAATTGGGTTTGTAAACTGAGCAAATCGTTGTACGGATTGAAACAATCACCGAGGTAATGGTACAAACGATTTGACCAGTTCATGATGAGTCAGAAGTACACAAGAAGCAAATACGATCAATGTGTGTATTTGCGCAAGCTACGAGATGATTCCTACATCTACTTACTCTTGTACGTTGATGATATGCTGATAGCATCAAAGAGCCAAGTTGAAATTGACAAATTGAAGGTTCAGTTGGGCAAAGAGTTCGAGATGAAAGATTTGGGAGAAGCCAAGAAGATTCTCGGCATGGAGATAAGCAGGGATAGAACGAGCGGCAAGCTTTGTCTGATACAAAAGCAGTATTTGAAGAAGGTACTACAACGTTTTGGCATGAATGAAGATTCAAAACCTGTAAGTACTCCGCTTGCTCCTCATTTGAAACTTAGTAGCCTATTATCTCTAAAGACGGATGAAGAGCAAGCATACATGGCGAAAGTCCCGTATGCTAATGCAGTTGGTAGCTTGATGTATGCAATGGTGTGTACGAGACCCGACATTTCACAGGCAGTTAGTGTGGTAAGCAGGTTTATGCATGATCCAGGCAAGGGTCATTGGCAAGCTGTGAAATGGATTCTACGGTATATCCAAAATACCGTAGATGTTGGATTAGTATTTGAGCAGGATAAATCACTTGGTCAATGTGTAGTTGGATATTGTGATTCTGACTATGCAGGTGATTTGGATAAGCGACGTTCTACAACTGGCTACTTGTTCACATTTGTCAAGGCGCCAGTTAGTTGGAAGTCTACTTTGCAGTCAACGGTGGCTTTGTCAACAACGGAGGCAGAGTACATGGCGATTACAGAAGCTGTGAAGGAGGCAATTTGGCTTCAAGGATTGCTTGAAGACTTGGGAGTTGGTCAAAAACACATTGATGTGTTTTGTGACAGTCAGAGTGCTATTCACTTAGCAAAGAACCAGGTCTTGCACGCAAGAACGAAGCACATTGATGTTCGCTATCACTTTGTGCGGGAAATTCTCGAAGAAGATGAGATTTTTCTTCAGAAGATTCGGACTACGGAAAATCCTGCATATATGCTGACCAAGGTGGTTACAAGATTCAAGTTTGAACATTGTTTAGACTTGGTCAATATCCTGCATATTTGAGTTGGCGCTTGAGGGCGCAAAATTTGGAAGCACTACAAGTACCGTTTGTTTTTGTTTGAGGGAGAAGGTTTGTATTTTTGGGGTGGGATTAGATTTATGCCAAGGTGGAGATTTGTTGAATCAAAGCCACAATTGTGGACTTTGACAATTTTTTCCACAACTCACAATTGTGGACTTTGGTGGCAGAAATCTTAATCCCACATCGGTAGGATTAATGGTAGGAGCATGGCTTGAGAGTTATAAATAACTCTCAAGTTCTACCAAATGAAAAGTACCAAAAGAAAAAGAAAACAAAAAAATTACACCAAAAAGGATTTTGTAATTCTTTTGTAAGTCTTTCTTCTCCCAAAATTTATAAAAGCGGGCTGCTTGAGTGGTGCTCGGAGAGTAGGCAAAATTGGCCGAACTCCGTTATCAATTTTTCGGGTGTGTTCTTTCCTTATCTCTTTTATTTGTTCCGCATTTATTTATTAGTTTCTTTTCTATTGTAGTATAGTATTCAATATATATTTGTCGGGTTTATTCATAGTGTATTATACGATTCTTTTGGGTGTATTTTCTTATTCGTGTTTACGTATTATTTATGTATACACGGGTATAGTTGTGATAATACACCGTGCACGTAAGTTCTGTTTAGGAGACTGGGTTTTAAGTGGGACCGCTTGTGACCCCTCCAGCCTTTCCTGGGAATTTACTTGGAATGGTAATTCTGTCTAAGGAGATTGTTTCAACGATCTTTCCTGAGAATTACTGAATCGGTTTAATCACTAGTTGTAATTTTGAGTGGGAAAATACCCGGTTTCCCCAACATCTAGCAGGATAAGGCTTCAAGCACTTCCATCTTTCTTTGTTTTTTTTTGGAGGTTATTGAAGTCCATGGTAGAAAAAAGTCTACACAAAATGCAAATCCCCGGGCCACTGGCGCATTTTTCAGTAGCCTATCAACGGGAGACTGCTCGCGACGCAACTCTAACTTGAACTTCCCTTACACAAGATGTATAAACCTTATTATCTGTGTTAACCCCTATTGATTTTCTTTGTACATCTGGTAATGTATCAACGAATGTGTTGGCCTTATTGCCATTGAATACTTTAGAAACTTGAGTGGTTATACGTCAAATTCAAGGAAAATCTCAGTTGAAAGAAAACTGCTTACAGCTTCTGGAAAGTTGACAGCAAAGTCAATGGCGACTGCTGCACCAAGGCTTGGTCCGACTAATATCATCGGTCGTTTGATGTGAGTCCTCCAAAGCTATAATTAATAGAAGCTCACAAAGTTAGATCAATGTCTAAGAACTGACAATAACTGCAAATTAGGTTATTCCTAGCATTTGCGTGACGGATGGTAACAATCAATCAGCATATATCCAGGATGCTATCTTCCCAAAGTACCTGGTAAAGGTGATATCTTTTGGATGCTGCGTCACAGGGAGGAAGTCTTTCTACACCAATTGAGGATTAGCTAAGATGATTAATGAACAAGAACCATAACACAAATCAAAAGCACCTGAACTAAGAGAAGAATATGATTGCATCTCTGTGCTGAAATTGAAGACGAACCTAGGTCGGAGAAACCCCATCCAAGAATGTCTATTGCCCAAGTCTCCACTGCAGCGTCCTCAAGTAATGGGTATGTTCGTGTCCATTCTAAACAAGAGCTACTCATTCGAATGCACACCAGGCAAGAAAAAGGGCAAAAGGGAAAAGAGACAAAAGTAGTAAATATCAGTAACTAGTAAGGATAACAAAAGTAGTAATAATTACAAAAGAAATAAAAACAAAAAGGTGTCCAGTAACTAGTGAAAATTACAAGAGTAGAAAACCTGTCGAAACAATGGAGTAGGACAGCCGGATTGGTATCACGTTGAAACCTTGGCTTCACACAGCTGCTCATTATACAACTCTCAGAAAATCCAACCTGCAGCTTTAGGAGAGGCAGAATATGAGGAATCAAAAACAGGTCAAAGATAAGTTGCAGTCAGACAGGAGAAATTCTGCAGACTTGTCTGGGACCACCACTACTCAATTTACTTGTCAGAGCATATAATCATCAGAATAGAAGTGAAATGTCTTTTAAGTCAGAAGGACACACACACACACATTAAGATTCTTTCCTTTTATCGATCCAATCGGGTGGGTGATGCATATTATGATCCTGGGCCTCACCTCTTGAGCAATATTCTAAACAGAAACTTGCTAGATGATCAAAGACAAATTATGCTACAACATGTAGTGCAGAGGAATAAAAAAGCATATATACCTTTACAGGAAGTCTTTGAATCCTCTGAGCCAAAGCTCGAGCAAACGGATCCTTGATTTCTTTAACTTCCGCAGGTATAAACGAAGGAAACCCACCATCAACAGAAACTGCATTTGTACCCAGTCTTCCTCCAGAATTAAACCACAGATGCATCGAATACATTGAGGTGAAGCGTTCTCTAGCTCCGGGAATCAGAGCCGGCCTGCAATTCAACCAACTCAGCATATTACTATATCGAAAGAATAGGCCACTGTTAAATCATGTTGGGTAGTACTAATATATCAGTACTCAAAATGGTTACTGATGTGTCGGTGGATGTGGTAAAAGTGTAGAAGTTGTGGACGCGAAGTGGTCAATTTTGAATATGCCACTGTTAAATCATGTGGATTAGTACTAATATATCAGTACTCAAAATGGTTTGAACTGTGGCGGTGGATGTGGTAGAAGTTGTGGACACGAAGTGGAAAATCGGCCACATAAGCAAGGCCGCCACCTTGAGTAAACTCCGCTCCGTCCGCCAATCACATGCAGGTAAGACGCACTAGGCAAATCCTATGCGACAGACATTGTCGCAGGAGATATTCGAATTTGAATTGACAGAAAAGTATAACATCAATTATACCATCTCAACCAATTTAAGGGACAATTGTTTTAGATTTTACAAAATCTTATTATAAAAATTGAAATTAACAAAATTACTTTTTGGGTGATTTTAGATTATAGTATTTTTATTATTAAAAATTTATAATTAGAATACAAAAGTAACCAAAAATATCACAAAAACTAATTATACAAAAATAGACTCTATAATCAGTAGTTAAAATAATCAACAAGAACATGCTCGATGTATTTATCAGAAGTTCGAAACTGCCCACTTCCCTCTCTCAAGACGGTGCACTTCTGGTCCGGTCCCATTTTTAGATCCTAATTAAGTAATGCTCGTTACATGAAAGGCTCGAGAATGAGGCATGGAATTGCACTGTAAGAAACAACTCTTTACCTTAACCAAAGCCCAAAGCTTTTTGGCAACAGTTTTACTAACCATAAATCCCGTGAGAACCCCAAAAGTCGGTATCTTTTTGGCAACAGTTTAACAACTCTTTATCTTCAGTTTGAGGAAATATGATCAACCTATTTACCCCTCTAGATTAGCCTATTGGGACAATAAAGCCCCTTAAATATTCATTAATTCATTAAGTAATCTCTTTAAAAATCATCTATTTCATTTGTATCTTGTAACTTGCATTCTCACCAATTTTTCATTCTAAACTTGATAAGTCATTTAACTTAATTAATGTACCATTCTTTTAGAGTAACACGTAAATTGAAGGGTTTCCATGCCTGGAGAATATCTACGAAATATAGTGTACAAGATGGAATGTATAATAGGTGAGGCTAAAAATTCGTATTAGCCACTTTAGCTGAACCTATTGATTAAATATCTAATAACGTCAAACTTTTATGATATCATGAGGGGATAGTAACTACGCCAATTGTTCTTCAGCTTTTAGCGTTCCTTTTGAGTCTTTCATGTAAAACCCAAAAAATCGTAAGAGTTGGGAGATTAAATTTTTTAACACACATAAATAAACCAATGAAGGGGAAGGCAATTTGCATGCATACAAATATGTGTAAGAAAAGAGAAATAATATCTAATATGTAATATCAATGATACTATAATAACGATACTTTCAAATTTTCACTTTTCTCAACCAATCATAATAATATGACTCATTATTTATAAACTAGATAACTCAGTAAAAAAGTAATCATACTATAAGAATTACCTAATACAACACCAGTTCCTAAACAATAAAACCGCAATAATTTGACTCCAATAACACTACTAAAAACTCGACTAAAATACTGTTACTAAATAACAACATAGAAACTTCTATTTTTAGGTTTGATTTAATATGCCAACATTGTCTCCGTTAAATGAAGCTCTCCATTGAATTAGGTTCACTATAATCACGAACAATAATCTCCATTACAAATTCACCCAACATCACTTTGTAATCACAACTCAATTTATAGGTTTCTTCCCCAATCGTTGCCTTCACAGCTACAATTTATATGACAATTCAGGACTATTTTTTTGGTCTATTCTTCATTAGGACCAATTTTGTAATCTAACTCAACAGCTGAATACTCTGGGCAAACCTTGTATCCAACTCACCCCAAGATCAGTATTTTGAATCTAAAACTCTGATACTACATGCAAAATCAAAAAATCACAAGAGTTGGGAGACTAAATGACTTAGTAAATAAGTAATACAACTCCCATAATATCAACAACATAATATCAATAGTACTCTAATAACAATACTCTCAAATTTTCATTCTTCTCAACCAACAATAATAATACAACTAAATGACTTATGCCTTATTTGATAACCTAATTCAACACTTAAACTTAATAGGTTCAGACATTAACATGTTCAGATACATTTGATAACAAAAAATAAAACATCTTATTTAATTAAGTGGCACTGAATTTTTTAGGCAAAACTTGCTTCAAAAAAATAATTAATAATCTATTCACTAATTACTTAATGTGATATACACTCAAATGTCTAACATTTAGTACTTACAATTTAGTAACTTAACAAATTCAAATTTCAGATTTTAGACTTCAGACTTTAGATTTCAATTTTCAGACTTCAGCCAAATGCACCCTTAGTAAAAAAAAAAAATCACACCCATAAAAAAAAATTACCTAATACAATATCAATTCTTAAATAATAAAACTACCATAAGTTTGCTCTAATAATGCTATTGAAAACTTGACTAAAATACAACTACTAAACAAATACTTCAATTTTTTGTCTTGATTAAATATGCCAACAAACCAAGTTTTCAGTTTTTTCCTCAAGTGGCACCCGATTTAGCACAAGTGATTTTCATTTTGCAAGTCATGTTTAAGTTTGAGTCAAATTCGAATTAAGCGTTAAAGGCTTGAATTCTAGCATCACTCAAGTACCAGAGACAACGCCATCAAATCATTTGTTTTCTATGCCCAAATTTTATAAGAAACCCTTTTTTAATCCAACAATAAGCCTTTTGGACTAGTGATTAAAACTATTCAAAGAACAAGCCCTTTTGCCAATCACTTAAAATCATCAAAGAACAATACTTTTGGGCCATTGATAAAAATCTTTTGAAGAAAAAAAATCGTATGATAGGGCTCTATTGAAATGGAGGCTAATCTTTTAATTGCAATTGCTTCATAGCCTACAGTAAATAAGTGTAAATTTTCCTTACCCAAAGTACCAATAATCAGTGATTCCTAATAAATGAATTTAGTTTCTCCCTTCATTAAAACGATCCCTAACATTTTTCTTTAATGTGCAAACTTAGACTTGATTTGTTTAATTTGATATCTACCAGGTTAATGTTTGCCATTTGTGACTATTTTTACTTGTAATTTTTTTTTTGTTTAATTTCCATCAAGTTTGAAAAATCCTCGAACTGTAACTTAGTGCACATCAACTTCTTGACCTTCTACATTGGCCAACAGGAACAACAAGGTCCTTCAAGTATTCATTTATTCTCATATACTGATTGCGTATACCGATTGCGTATTCTAACTTCCACTTTCTCTAATTTTTCAATCTAAACTTGATGAGTCATTTAAGTTAGGGAGAATTGTAATTTTGGTCCCCAATCTATAGTGTATGTGCGAAATTATCCCCAATCTATTTCAAAAATCAATTTTGATCCCCAATTTATTCAATTTTGCGTTAAAGTGGACAATTAACGGAATCTCTTCAATTTCAATAGGAACTAAATCATGTGAGATCACGTGACGGCACCTAAAACCCCTTTTCAATTTTTTAATTTCTAAAACATGTTTTTTAATATTTTCAACTTTCTCTTGCCTTTTGTCTTATTAAACAAAGACATGAAAGGGGTAATCTCACAATCCAAATTACTCCTCTTGTTGGCCGCCGCCTTCAAATCCCTAGAACCCGTAGCACGAGTAAGAAGCTCAGCTTGGCCTCCAAGTCCAAGTCTCGTTCTTGCCTCCATTAGTAATAGAGATAATTTGTAATCAATGCCAGAGACAGACCCAGTTCAACTCTCCTGCACAAATAACAGGAGCAGCAGTAGCATCATAAGCAAGCAGCCGAGAGAGAAGAGCGGATAATAACAATTGGTAATCAAAGGGATTATACGGACCAAATCATCAAAAGGATTATACTGGTAAGTATATTCTTTCCCTATTAGCCATTCTTCACCGTTGAACTGGAATGAGCATTCAATTGAACCACTAGTATATTATTGGTAGGTCATGCTTACGGCTGGAACAGACACTTCATCGGTGACTATAGAATGAGCCTTGTCTCTTTTGCTCAACCATCCCGAGGTGCTAGAGAAAGCTCGAGTTGAATTGGATGCTCAAGTAGGGACTGATCGATTGGTCGATGAACATGATCTATCCAATCTTTCTTATCTTCATAACATTATTTCTGAAACACTTCGGTTGTACCTAGCAGCACCAATGCTAGTGCCACATGAGTCGTCCGATGACTGTAAAATTGGGGGATACAATATTCTGCAAGGCACAATTTTGCTAGTTAATGCATGGGCAGTTCACAGGGACCCAAATGTTTGGGATGATCCAACAAGCCTCAAGCCAGAGAGATTCAAAGGCTTGCTGGTTCAACCATCAAAGCTGATTCCATTTGGGATGGGAAGGAGATCTTGCCCTGGTTCTGGCCTAGCATAACGGGTGATAGGTTTGGTTTTGGGATCTCTAATTCAGAGTTTTGATTGGAAAAGAATTGGCGAGAAGAAGATTGATCTGGCTGAAGAGACAGGAGTCCATGCCAAAAGCCAAGCCACTAGAAAAAACATGTTTTAGAAATTAAAAAATTGAAAAAGGGGTTTTAAGTGCCGGCACGTGATTTCACGTGACTTAGTTCCGATTGAAATTGAAGAGATTCCGTCAATTATCCACTTTAGCACAAAATTGAATAGATTGGGGACCAAAATTACAATTCTCCCTTTAAGTTAATTAACTTATCATTGACTTTTCAGAGTAATACTTCATTTGGAGGATTTTCCACTACTGGAGAATATCCATGAAATATAGCATACTAGATGCAATGTATCATAGCAGAGGCTAAAAGGTGGTATCAACCACATTAATTAGCTGAACCTATTGATTGAATGTTTAACAACGCTAAACTTTTATGATATCGAATGGCCTCAAGACTTAGCACTAGTAGTTTTTATTTTGGCATTTCTAGGGTTACATTGTATTTCAATGTGCTCCACAGGTTTAAATACTAGAAAATTTTCATATTAGAATCAGGATCCACTCTATAA